CATATTTTGAGTGTATTCTCGCCTCTTTTTATTTTTTATGGTGTCTGTACTCATGTGGGGTACATATGAGTAGGATAAGGAGTAGTTGCTTAAGGTAGAGAACAGATATGCCTCCTTATTTGCTTATTTGTTCGAGTTATAGTTGAGTCTCTTTGATATGTAATAGTGGGGCAACGAGATATTTTTGTTGTATTTCCTGCTTTTATGCTATTTTTAAGTTGTTAAGCCCTTTGTGGAATTTCTATGAATCGATGAAACTATGATGTCAAACATTATTATTTTCCTATGTGTATCTTAAAAAGATTAATTGATTTTGTGTTTTTTTATCGATGGATCACGAGTAGAACTCTAATTGTGGAGTTTATTTATCGTATTAACATAATTATGTTGTGTCGGGGATTAGGGTGTTACAGGTTCAGCCTATATAAAATATCTAAGTAGATTGTAAGAAGGTTCATGTGAATAACCTGTAAAATCTCAAAAATATTATTTTAGTAAAACTCTTAAGAAGAAATTATTAGGGAGAGGAGTAGGTCAAGTGGAAGGTCTAACTTCTATAAATCCTAGTGTAATATCTATAAACTCTATCTCTTTATTTTCAATCAGTTATATTTTTTCCTTTACACTCCCGTCTTTTCCTTTTTTGTTGTTTTGTCTTTGTACTAACGTAAATTGTTTTTAACTAAGTTTTTTAATCAATTATTATTTTTTAATACCATAATCCACCTCCCTCTTGTTCTTGAAGTTACTTGTTCAACAAATAACATTGGAGCCTAACTCCTGTTTAAAAATAATCGTTTCAAGAGGAAGGAAATGATTCTAGAAGATTGATCAAACAAACATTTGTATTTTAATGGAGAATAGTATAATTTTATGGATAAAAAATATGGGAATCTTTATTGAGGGGATGTATTTTGGTATTTGGAAGGCTGTTAAAAATTGTCATTTTTTTCTAGACAAGTTAATGGTGTTGTAATGTACAGAGAATAAGATTATTAGACCAAAGAGGAAAGAGAAAAAGTATATCGCAGTTTGAAAACTAAAATTGTCATTACTTTTGCTCTTGGTCTTGATGACTTTTCGTGTACTTATCACTGCGAGATAGCAAAAGAAATGTGGGATATCCTCCAAATTACCCATGAAAGAATTATTAAGGTAATACGATCAAGATTGAACACATTGACTCGTGAATATAACTCTTTAGAATGAAACCTGAAGAAAACATTTATGATATGAAAAAAAATTATCCACATTGTAAATCATATGAGAACTCTAGGAAGAGTTTTTTAAAACAATGACTTGTGAAAAAGTACTTAGATGCTTAATGAAAGTTGGTAATCCAAAGTCACTACTATTTCTGAATTTAGGGATTTGTCATCCGTGAATTTGGCTATTCTTTTTGGATCTATCATCCATTTGGCTCCTCAAATTGTTGAAGACATTTTGAATATTAATTTGTCATTTGATAATAATATTGTTGATAAACTCATTTGAATAAGATCTATAAATGGTGATATATCTTTTAAGGATTCCTAATAATGTATCAGGAGGGACCATATTGTACCTTTTTGGACAAAACTCATTTAACATTCTTATATACCACCTGTTAAGTTATTAGTGACTTAGAAACTAATGCATAATATTATTGTAACAGAAGACAACCTGATTCGAAAAGGAATTCATATGGTTTCGATGTACTTTCTCTGCAATCGTGACGTGCAAACTGTAGCCCCTTATTTCTTTGATGCGTGTACAACTTACTTTTTTGGAATTTGATGAGTATTGATAGAACTAGGGATGTAAATTTACATATGTTAACGAGGATGCATGTGAGGATTATCTGTTCAAAGCTCTGAAATTAGGGACTTTTTCCCTCACGGAGACAGGGATGAAAGGAAAAGTTCCCCAATGACACTTTAGGATGGGGATCGGGAAAGTACCCTCCGCCCCGCGAATTCCCCGACCCCGACTATATTATTTAACTTTTATATTTATATACTTATATAATTTTACATAAAAATATTAATATATTAGAAAATTGAGTTATTAGTGGATCATTTTATTTATTTTATTATTTCACTATCCAAGTACCTAACTCTAGAAAAGCGCACCAATACATACAATATGTACATTGTCTTCTCCTTTTCTTTTCTCAATTATCCTTGTCTCCTCCATTCATCATCTCATTTATTCTCATCATCATTTCAACAACCACTCTCCTTTGATCATTGTGGTTATGGTAATTACTCTTCAAACTCACTTTACTTCCATTAGTAACATATTTCCATTCAATTAATAAATTAATAGTTATGAATTTGTCACACGCACACATAACCAACCACTTGCGATAGAAGACAACGGTACTGTAGTAGTAAATTAGCAGAAGCATGATAGCAACAAGTTCGATTATTTTTTTTTACAGAAAAAATAGTAGCTACAATAAGTGCTTTTCATTCTTTTTTTTTGTTATTAATGCAAGATGTATTTTTATTTTTTTAAAAAGAAAGATGTAAAATATATTTATTTTTTTAAAAGAAAAAAAATAACAAAATACTAGTGTCATAATTCTGATCGAAAAGTATAGAAAATTTCTTAAGATTCGATCTTCGTGGGGATCTGTGGGGATGGGGATGGGAAAAAATATTTTCCCGTGGTGGGGATCAGGGACAGAGATGGGGAATAAATTAAGGGGTTGGGCGGGGAGCGGGGAAGCATACTCCAAATATTCTCTGTCCCGTTGACATCCCTAGATAGAATTAGTTATGAAAGCTTATTCAAACTTGATGGCAGTGTAAAAAAAATTGTTTTTTTCCTCGAAAAGTGAAATATTGGTTTTTTTCGAAAAATACGGTATTTTTTTAGAATTTTCTTGAAATTTCTGATACACCCCCAAAATTTCCGGTAAAACTCATGTTTTTTGAAATTTGATGATTATTCACAAGGGTATAATGGTAAAAACATACATAATAGGGCATGTCATGTATAAGTGGAGGGGTGGTATCTTAAATCTTTGTTTATTTGGAGATGCATCTCCGAACTATATTTTAATAAAATAATATTTGGTGCGTTCGGAGATATATCTCCTAATAAACCCAAAGATATTTTGAGATTTTTAGAGGTGCGCCCCATTGTATAAGGATGTAAAGAGAAATGAATGGACTTTCAAACAGGAAAAACAAAAATAAGGATAGGATGAAATAAATGAAAAACATTCATATTTGAGAGTTTTCCCACCCTTATATGGTGTGGGACGCACCTTTTAAAACTTCAAAATACTTTTAGGGTTTTTTTGAAGATACACTGAACGCATCAAATTTTATTTTTTTGTCAAAATTTAGTTCGGAGATGCATCTTCAAATTTTTCTGAAATTAATTCGAAGATGTATCTTCGAAAACATACTTGAAGTGAATATTTCAACCATGAATTCACTAGACTGCCCACACCTATCTTAATTTTGCACAACCATCATACAACAAATGATATATGTATTTCTACTGTGAATTCGAGAAATTAACATTCCACCCTCCAAATTATATAAGACACACCCCAATTTTCGTTATTTCAAAAATATCCTTGAACAAATTGAAGGGGTGTACAAGGACCAAATTTCCCATAGTTTTGTGAAATTTTCGGATTTTTTTTGGAGAAAAAAAAATTCTATAAAGTACGAAATATACTTAAATTTTCGGTATTAAACTGTAAATTTTCGGTATTATATTAGAAATTTTGAAATTTCTGATAATGTAAAAAAATAAAAATAAAAGTCCTAAAAAATAAAGTGCCGGAATTTTTGATAAACCTCCAAATTTCTGGAAATTTGTTTCTGGAAATTTCAAAAAAACCTAATTTTCTTAAAATTTTCAATACACCCCTCAAATTTCCTGTTAAACTAATATTTTTTAGAATTTGATGACTATTTACAAGGATATAATAGTAAATACATACCTTTTGGAAAAATGCCATGTATACAAGAGATAAGATGTTAATTCCTCTGAATTCACATGGACTGCCTACATCCATTTCCACTTCCACTATCTTTGTTGAAGCTGAGGATTGCCACAACCTTCAATACCCGTTGATATTATTCGTTTTCACGTGCCTTGCACTCGGTCAATGTTCTTATATGCAGAAAACTAAGTATTAAACACTTATTTATCTTATGGTTTTTAATTGTCAGTACTATCATTGTAACTGTAACAAAAAATAATAATAAGAACATAGTAATAATTTTACAACTAGCATGTTGGTATCTGCAAATTTTGCATAAGGTGACGATGAATGCTCCTGCTTTAAAGAAAAGGTGGTAGTTGTGATCCTTGCTTATAATTATGGGAATAATAACATTGGTTCTATTTTTCACTTCAGGTGTATTTTTGAAAATAGATCTCCGGACTAACCTTTAAAAAGTTCAAAAATGTATCTTTGAATTAAATTTTAACAAAAATAAAGAAATGATATGTTCTAAAATATATCTTCAAAAATATGTCATTTTTGACATTTTGCCAAGGACTTAAAGCAGAAAATATCAGGGTGCAAAAAGGAAATTCCCCTTATATTTTATGTTTAGAGATGTGTATTCTCCCCATATGTACTTAGACTTTTTGTGCTAATTCAACTTTCGTGAGCTGTGTTTGCTACACAACATTATAGATTCTGTGTTTGTGTTAGTTTAGTTGTTCTATTAGTTTTACAACAAGATACATGCACTGCATTGTTGTATATTTAATTATATTTAATGAGATACTACGAATACTGACATTTAGAGTGAAGGTCTTGTATAGTGTATAGGATAGTCATGGTTCAAACGTAGAAAAATTAAATAGGACCCTATTTTTTCATAATGACACATATTTTATCAGACTCTATTTAGTCACATTTTAACATTGACAAATTTTGAAGATGTGTGGTAGCCTGCCTTCCTCGCCTTAAAAAACAGTTTTGTTGGTATTCTGGCCATTGTTGGAACTTCAGAAAACTCACCTTCTGCCCCTTCAAACCATTTGCTTTACCTAAACTACACTTCATCCTTATTAAAAAAAATCAGTTAAACATGTATGAATTAGATTTAAACAAAGTTTATTGCGACTTTCTCTTGTCACAAATAGGTTCCAAAAAAACTCAAACTATAGACTTCCTAGAATATAAATATATTCCATTTTGTTGGCATCCAAAGATCTTACCAAAATGGGAAACCCCTCACCAAGGATCTTACAAGATCAACACGGGTGCTGTCTGTGAGAGGAATGAACACAAACCTTTTACATACGGAGTCAACCTTATTAGAAAGATTCCAATCTCAACAGATTAATTGTTAGAATGGAAAAAAGCAAATACTATCATTTGTAACTATTATTTTCAAAATGAAAATCTGCTAAATGTTACTAAAGAGTATTCATAAGAGTGTGACACAGCTTAAACATCTTCATTGCTTTCCCCCAACTCCATTCCCCTCAAACCTTCAGCCAACATCTTCTGCCTATTTTGTTTTTGTCTTTCTACAGCAACCATATACAGACCTAGACAGGTATAATAGTCATCCATAATGAGAAAAATATGATAATACCAACAAAGTTTTATGCGAAAGAGACTTATAACATAAAAAAGTTACATCTTAGTTTGATAACACGACCTCATGAAAGAAGATCACTTACTAACAGCACTTCCAATAGCACAAGCCCAAAGAACTCTCATAGACCACTTGTCTGCGATTACTCCTCTGGCTCCCATGGCATGCAGTAAAGTCCAGCAACTTTAACATAAAATCAATGGTAAGATGTGAAAGTTTATATACAAAAATGTTAGGATCCCTACTTTCAGTAAGAAATGATTTTCATAACAAAATCATGTTGAGTAATAAAAAGAATGAAGATTGCAATAGAGAGAATAGAATTCTTTATTTAACAGAAATAGGAAAACTAAGTAGAATTTTTCTCAATTTATGCTTCTCCTTTCTCACAGGATTAGCAAGTCATAAAACTCAATTATTCAAAGATACCCCTCCCTTATACCAATTTGGGATATTTAAAAACTTTCTAAGAATAACAGCAGTATTTAACAACAACCTAACAAACTTCCTTAACAACTCTTAACTACTCTAACAATCCTTTATTCTAGATCCTATCGACAAGCTTTAGCCTAAGAGAAACTACCATAATTTGTTGAACTAATAAGTAACTATTCCTATTACATCAATCAAAAACAAACAATTTGAAAAATCAAACATAATATACTTTTCTAGGCTACCACCAAAGATACCAGCTGCAGCTAAAGCATTTGGAGACTATATTTAGGGCGGTTTACTATCCATCCTTGGATTTTTTCAGTTATCTTTACCCACCTCCATGATAGTTAAAATTCCGATTGGAATCGTAAAATCCCACCATTTAGCAATTATGTTTGGCCACAGCAATTAAGAGAAAACGCATAATCCTATTTTAGTGAAATCAAGTAGAATTCCCCCCTCTTAATTGTTGAATTGCATAACCTTACGATCTTTGAAACATTTATGTGATTATGCTTACGAAGGAATTTAAATATATATAAGTATTCAAAGTGTGATTTAAGGTTTTAATTATCTTACTTGCAAGCTATGGTTATGGAATTAAATTTACACAAGTATTTCAAGTGATTTAAAATTTTCTTTATCTTACTAATGCTATTTTATATGCATATAAACGAGTTCTAGAATTTTGTATAATCATGTTATTCCAGAATTTACGATTTAACTTTCCCTTCTCGATTTTGCATAAAATCTCAATTTTAACTACCTTGCCCACCTCTAAATTTCAAGGCAATCTAAGAAACAAAACACCATCTCAAAAACATAATACAGGGCATTCGCAACTAATAGTTGACACTCAATGGCTCAGACGTCAGGTGCCGCGCGAATCACTGTCGCGGCTGCCTCAGATGCATTTCCCGAAAGCAACACAGCGCAGAAGCTACAGTCACAGAGTTCTGTGCCGACGAAAATGAAGATTTTTTGAAACAAAAAGAAATAAACGGTTACATAGTATGCAAGAAAGCCATTTTATGCATGTCTTCCAAGATTCAACAAACAAACATCTATGATGCATAAACAACTACAGCAGCGAAACTGTGAAGAATTGATAATTATTTGATTCTCATTAATATGTTGTTGGATAATTGGATTATTTAAACTCATTGATTAACTATGCATACAAATTCCAAATTCATTGAAGCTATGCACAATGATTATCCATTTCAAAAGGAAACAGAAACAGATTTCATTATCAATAATTATCTAAATATGAAATGAGAGAAGAGGTGAAGAAGAAAGAGTACCTCAGTGAAAGAGAATTGAGCTAAGAAACCGAAAGAAACAGTGAAAATCTTGTTCCTGAAAATTACAAGAAAAAAAATAGAAAGATGGCGTTGTTAGTAAAACTAGGTTAGAAATTGAAATTGAAAATTGAAAATTAAAAGTTAAAAAAAAAAAAAAACGAAGCGTTTTATGCAGTAATAACCCTAATTTAGAGAGTGTGAACTCGAATTTGAGCTAGAGAAGAAGAAGGAGGAGGAAAAGTGAGATTGATTGAGCTACGAACCGTGGGGATCAGCGAGAAGAGAGAACGAAACATAGAAGAAAACTCGCAACACTGTTCATGGTTTGGTTATAAGAGAAAACTGAACAATAAAAACAGTTCAAAAAACCGAACCAAACTGCAATCTTGTCACTTGAACCAAACCAAACCGATTCAGTGGTTCGGTGCACTATAAATTCAATGCTGAACCGAACTGGTATTGTACTATTCAAAATCCAAACACGTAATGCAAATCTAACTATTTCTATGATAGGCTAGACGGATTCTGAGTCATGGTTTAAAATCTTTGGGTGCAAAACACTCAGGTCAAAAATAACTTTGCAACGATTTCTTAGAATTATCTAGGAAAATTCAGAAGTTGAAGAAGACAAAATTCAAGGAAAGAAAATTGAAAAAGAAGCATATTTTTACGATTTTTTTTTTGTGGCTTAATTAGCTTTGAAGTTCCTTAATTTATAATTTAATTTCAAACTTTATTTTAATCTATTTAATAAACATTATAAATTAGTAATTCTTTATCAATAATTATGCTAGTCAATTTAATTTAATCTTTTCTGTTAAATTGGTTGAAAAAACATTAAGTGTTGTGATATGGCATGAGATTAATGTTTTTAACCATATATTTCAAATAGGGTTATGTTCAAAATAATATGTAATTTTATGTAATGAAATCGTGTAATTTTAATGTTGGTTAAATGAAATGGGTTATTTAACACAATATTTTAATATTTTATGATCTGTTTTATCATTTCTGCTATAATAAAGGTGTTACGTGTTATAAAATGTAGTCAGTAATATTGCAGTACAATAATGTAGATGAAACAAAAAAACTTAAATAAGGGGTCATAAATATTATATTTGAGAGATAAGGGACTTAACTGTAAGTTATGTAATAAATAAAGGATTAGTCGAAATCTAGATGATTAGTAAAATGACTAATTGAAATAATTAGGTTTAACATTCTAACTAACCTGTAAATACATTATCCTTGTTGCATGTTATTTATTAGAGCCAAAATGTTGTTTGTTATTTATCTTAAAGCAAACACAATCAAAATCAAAAGTTAAAGTAAGGAAAGAACAAAATGTTGTTTGCATTATCATAATCAGAATTAAGATCCTTATCATATATTTTTGATATTTTGGTATAACAGCACAAAATATGTATTCATTGACACTAATACAAAAAGCCAAAATATATGTTCATTAACACTAATACAAAAAGCCAACATATGTGTTCATTGACATTAATACTAAAAGCCTAAGTTACACATACAGTAATACAAAAACATAGTAGACAAGTATATCACATTGCAGTTGCTTCAGACTGGGTGGATGCAGGCTGACATGGTCTATACTAACTTTGTTCAGGTTGACTTGGACCAGGCTGAACTGTTCCAGGCTTACTTGGTTCAGGCTTAATTGTCTGACTTGGTGCAAGCAGTTTGCAAGTAGCTTTATTGTGCCCTATCATGTGGCACCTACTGCATTTGATTCGAAAGTTAGATTGCTTTAGCTGTGTCTCATCTCTTATATTCTCTGATGCATCTCTAGTTCTCTTCTTCTTTGGCATTCTTGGTTGTCTTTTGATTAGCGGTGATTGTAAATCAATATACTTTATTTTCTCCCATAGAGTTTCCACATTCAATGGATATATTACAGGTGAATAGCAATGCCTCATAGCATGCTCTTTTGTAGCAACCAGGCACAAAGTTGTCACTCCAATTGTTGAGATTTCATTCAAGATATTGTATGAAAGCATGGCAACCCTGTCAGTATCCATCTCATACTAGATCACTCCTTAGTGGAGAGAATCACAATATACTTTTCTCAATTGTATGAGATATCCCTAATGTTGTACTCCAAAATTTTCCCTCTCATTTCTCAAGGAATCACCCCGTATCCTCAAGTTTGCTTCCATCCAATTCCAAGCATTGAACTGTAACTTTTCAAGAAAATCACTCACAAGGGCAAAATGGTAAAAAGCACACTGAAAAAGTCAAACTTTGACTTTTAAATCAAAAATCAAGTTTCAACAATTATATTTCATTAAGACATGAAACTAGTTCGTCAAAATCAGAAGTCAGAAATTACTCTGAAAAAAATCAAATTTCTAAACATTTGGAAAATTTTCTAAGTGTTAAGAGAATGTGATACTTCAGAACTTCCGAGTTAGCCTCCACGCAAGCGCAATCAGAAGTTACAAATATAGTTCAGAACATAGTCTTCAATAAGAACATGACTCTTCATCCTTCATGCAAGTGCAGTCAGAAGTTGCAAACGTGGTTCAGAATATAGTCTTCAATCAGAATATGACTCTTCAGCCTCCACGCAAGTGTAGTCAGAAGTTGCAAACATGGTTCAGAACATAGACTTCAATCAGAACATGACTCTTCAGTGCATGGAGATTACGTTTCTGATCTTCTGTGATCAGACCATCACCAAATCCTAAAACCTCGTTTAAACAACCTACTACACTGCTGCAGCATATTACTCTAACCAGCAGTTAATCCAGTCCACGCCTGCATCTTCCCAAATCTTGTATTTGTACCAAATACAAAAAGCTGTGATCAAAAAGCAATGGAACATTGTGCCAAAAAGTTTAAATCCCATTTGTTTTCCCCCCAAAACCACAACAAATTCACCTATAAATAAGTTGCATCATCACACTTTCAAGGGGCTGGCTTTTGGAAAGAGAGAACTATCAAAAGAGAAAAAGAAACCTGTGAAACCTTCATAAAAATCCAGATTTCCTAAACAGAAAAACAAACCTTTGTTCTTCCCTTTGAATCAAAGAACTTGGCATTTTCTTTTCCTTTGCTCTTGCTGATTCCAGAACCTCTAAAGGTAGCATTCCAAGTTCTAAACACACGCTTCAGGTTCAAGGTAAGTCTTTCTGACCTTTGTATTTTTTATTCAGAACATCATTAAACATATAAATACCATAGTATTAATGTTGTTTATATCATTGCATGAATAGAAAAATTGTGGATCAGAACTTCTTGATTAAGGCTATGTTCAGGATTAGGATCAGAACCTCTATAAACTATTGTGTTTTTATTCTTCTGACTTGTTGTTTGTTAAAAAATGAATAAGTTATTGTTGTGCTGATTAATATGAGGAAAAAATTCGAAATGTAACACAGAGCTTCTGTTTTTCACTCACCATTTTAACACACAAAACTTCTAGGATTTTCTCACTGTTTAAGCACGCAGAACTTCTGAGTTCTCTTCACTATTTTAACACACAGAACTTCTATGACTTTTCTCACTGTTAACACACACAGAACTTCTAGGATTTTCTCACTGTTTAAGCACGCAGAAATTCTGAGTTCTCTTCAATGTTTTAACACACAGAACTTCTATGGCTTTCTTATTGTTCTAACACTCAGAAGTTCAGTACATAGCAACCCAGAACTTCTGTGTTTTCCCTCTAACGTGTCTTGCAGGACCTCAGAGTGTACCAATCCAGAACTTCTGATTCCACTGACGTTCCTTTTTGAATCATCACGCGCCTGGCTTCAGA